CCTTAGTGCTCACTCCCCAGTTTTATCATGTTTTTCAGGTCAGCATGTCGGGCCGGAAGCGTGACGTGACGGAGCATATCGGGACTTTCAGGACATTTATATATGTTTTGGACTGTATAAATATGACTTACGCTTCCGCTTGTCTTTTGATGACTTATGGTGATGTTTTTGCTATCTTTTGACGAATACATCATTTTGACGAACTTTTGAGAAATTAAGTTTTCCAGTAACCGGACGTTTTTATTAAGCTAAAAACAACGGTTTTCTAAGTTAAGTAAGGATTTTCACGGTAGCACCCCAAATCAGTTTCGCAAAGTAAAAATGTTTTAATTTTCAAAGACTTTGCGAATAATTGCGCAACTCTGATTTATCTAGTAAGGTGGGGTGTTACAGTTACTACATATCGGGTACGACATATCGGTTATAACTACACGAGCCGATATCCATGACTTGCCCAAACCGACACCATAAGGCGGTGCCAACTCAGCACAGCTCATCATTACGCCTGGCCAAGTGGCATGCTCTTAGAATGGATGGCAATTAGCCTCCATTGACTATTCCTATGTAATGATTACATTTCAGATAAATGTTGTAAATAAATATAAAAGGAAAGGGGGGATTCCCTAAGCAGATACGAAAAATACACAGCAAAATTCACCAGAGATTTATTTCAGTCAGCTTTTAGTACGATCTTTGTTAATCTATCTCGAACACACAATAAATCCTTGATTATCATATAGTTGTTAATTTCCATTTGACAACAGTTTGGCGCTAGAGGAAGGGGCCATCGTGTTTTGAGGTTAACTTTCGTTCTTATAGCCGTTTCCGCACCTGAAGTCGCCATGTCGCAGTCTGGTCGAGACCATACAGCTCATCCCGGTCAGAGTCAATCGACTAATCATTCTCCACGACGTTCAATACCACAGCCACCTCCTCCGGTCACGAATATCACAAACTTTCTTCAAAACCCGGAATTTATCCAAGGATTAACCACTTTGATAGCTTGAGCCATGCCTAGACACTCGAACACAGTACCAGTATCAACGCCGTTTCCTACGAATCCAACGGAACATCCAAATCATACTCATCATGATCCTGAAACACACGCGGCAACATCACATGCTACGTCACAACCACACCATACTTCTCCACATCGAGAAGAGTTAACTCGTATAACCGCAAATCCAGTAGTGAAAAACCAGGCTCAGGAGCAGCCTCCCGTTCAAGAGATGACTGCCGAAAGTCACTCCACTCATCGTCAAAGGATTCCGTCGCGCCCAAGACCTACCTCACCGGTACCTCGTGATCGTGAAGATTTACGACGTCAGATTGAACGGAATCACATGTCAAGACGTAGCGCAGAGGAAATCGAGGTTCTCCGCAAACGATTGGCTGAACTTGAGACTCGACAGAAATCACAAGAAGACTCTCCCCGACATGTCTCGATGTCGGGAAACGTCTTCATTGAAGCCAACTCGCCTTTAGCCCCAGAGCTCACTGCCGAGGCGCTCCCTGCCAAAGTAAAAGTCCCACAAATCGGAATGTATGATGGGACATCGGACCCTGATGCACACTTAGGTCATTATACGTCGTGGATGGATTTGCATGGAGCCTCGGATGCTTTGAGATGTCGGATGTTTTCCCTTACACTGGGGCCATGAGCGCAGAAATGGTATTACACTCTTCCACCCCATTCAATTTGGAAGTGGCAACAGTTGCGCGCAGCCTTCCGATCACATTTTTTCGGAGCCCAAGTTTGTCTGATCCCAAAAGAATCAATCACTAATATCGTGCAAAAGGATGATGAAACTGTGAAAGACTACATATCACGGTTCAATGACCGTATTCAGAACATGGAGCCCTGTCACCCTGAGACCCTACTAGTAACTGCAATTGCCGGGTTAAAACCCAATTTAATGTTTCGCTGGACCCTATGTCAGAACAAGCCGGCTACCTTTCAAGAATTTCTTGTACGAGCTCAACAATTCATTATCGCCGAGGAATCGATGTCGGTTCCTAGCTTCGACTTCTCGGCGAAGGAAAGCAAAACTGAATCGGATGCTAAAAAGAAGAATAAAAAGAATTTCGGGAAAGCGCAATATCGCAATTATTCAAAAGGATATGAAGATACTCCGGAATCTCGTGCTGCTCGAGACCAATACGCCGCCGACGTAAGGACGGGCTATCAAACCGTTTATTCGGCCAGAGCGGCTACAATTTTCGAGGAACTGAAAGGGAAGCGAATTATTCCTGATCCAAGACCAGTAAAGACTTCTGAAGACAAGTTAGACAAATCCCGATATTATGCGTATCATAAATCTCCGGGACACAAGACCGATGAATGCCTAAGTCTCTTATCGGCCCTTTTACGTTTGATTGGTCAGCCTGAACTTCAAAAGTTCAGAAATTTCGACAATCGCAGGAAAGGAAGGCCCACAGATCTTCCGACGAAGAGGAAGATGATGATCGGCCCGCCAACCCGAAAAGAGCCCGCGCAAACGATAAGGAGATTTTCACATTTTCTACTCTTGTTAGAACTTTGACCGATAACTGCAAAAAATCCAGGACCCCTGATACCTCAGACTCTTCACGTTGCATGCCTCGAGTCAGTTCTAATAATAAACAGCTGGATACTTCTCGACGGAAAGCCAAAGCCTACGCCCGAGAGGCACACAATGCCGAGAAACGAGTCATGAACGTTGATTTTCGAGATACCATTAATAAGCGGAATTGTCCTATCACATTCAGTATCAAAGATGCCAACTTATTTGCTCATCCTCATTCCGACGCCCTTATTATCACAGCTCCGATTGGAGGGATCCCAGTTCACCCAATTTTGGTCGATACAAGAGCTTATTCAAGTATTTTGATGTACCGTACTTTCAACAAATTGGGTTTGGACCCAACAGATATTATACCTTGCAACGACCAAATTCAAGGTTTCAATGGAAGCATCTCTTGCCCTGTCGGCGAAATATTACTCCCTATTTGATTTGGCGGTTTTGGGCCAAAATCCAAGATTATTATGGAGACTTTCAAAGTACTGGATGTCCAGAATGAATATAATGCTGTTATAGGGCGAACTTCACTTTACAAGCTCCGTGCTGCCGTATCAATTTTCCATAACGCCCTGAAGTTCCCAACCATTGAAGGAGAAGACACTCATTACGGAGATCAACGAGAAGCCCGAAGTCTCACGTTGCTCTCAACCTCGCGGAACTTTCATATGATTGAAGAGCGGGATACTGATGACTCTATTGAGTTGAAAAATCTAACTCCTCCTGACGCTCAAAGGACCAGTCAATTCGCTTCAGATACCGACGTCCTTCTTCTTGCATCTACCGATGTCCCTGCGACGTCGGATTCGCCTGAAACATTAAATGATCCCCTTAATCAAGAACAGTCTTTTCATGAGAAAGGTATAGGAATACACGAAGATATGGATCCACGGATGCAATTCAAAGATAAGAATCACCATGCCCGAGCGGAACCAGTTGAGGATGTCGAAACTATTTACGTGGATGGATTAACGCGGGAAAAATCATTGCGCATTGGAGCTAACCTTCAAGAACCCATACGTTCGTGTTTAATTCAATTTCTTCAGTCAAATTCCGACGTATTCGCCTGGAAGCATGAAGACATGAAAGGAATAGACCCGCAGAAAGCATGTCATTGCTTAAATTTGGATAAGACCGTCAAGCCTGTTATACAGAAACGCCGAAAATTCGGCCCCAATCGCCAAAAGGCTCTTGAAGAGGAAGTGAACAAGCTCATAGACAATAAGTTCGTCAAAGAAGCCAAATACCCGACGTGGATATCAAATCCTGTCTTGGTTAAGAAAGCCACCGGCCTTTGGCGTCTGTGCATTGATTTCTCGGATTTGAATCAAGCATGCCCGAAAGATAGCTATCCAATTCCACACATTGATTACATGGTAGACGCTACATCGGGACATCAACTCATGAGCTTTTTAGACGCCTATTCCGGTTACAATCAAATTCCCATGCACCCTGATGATGCTGAACATACTTCGTTCTATTCAGCCCGAGGCCTTTATAGCTATGTCATGATGACTTTTGGATTGAAAAATGCTGGGGCCACATACCAAAGGTTGGTTAATAAGATGTTCGCTCATTTGATCGGTCGAACAATGGAAGTTTATGTAGACGACATGCTGGTGAAATCGGAACAAGCCTCTGATCACATCACTCATCTTTCCGAAGTCTTTGACATTCTCCGAGAATATTACATGGTGCTTAATCCTAAGAAGTGCACCTTTGTAGTTGGATCAGGGAAATTTTTAGGATATATGGTGAGTCAGAGAGGAATTGAGGCTAATCCTGCCAAGATCCAAGCTATACTTGAATTGGCTCCCCCGACATCTATCAAAGGTGTCCAAGCTTTAACTGGTCGACTAGCAGCTCTTAACCGATTCATTTCAAAGTCGACGGACCTTTGTAAGCCGTTCTTTGACGCTATCCGAAAGAAGAAGCCATTCGAATGGACCGTGGAATGTCAGAATGCTTTTGACAACATCAAAGAAGTTCTTTCACGATTACCGACGTTGCAGAAACCTCTTCCTGATGAACCTTTGTACTTGTATTTGGGTGTAAGTGACGTTGCTGTTAGTGCTGTTCTAATACGACAAGATGGACTTCAGCAATTCCCGATATATTACGTTAGCAAAGCTCTAATCATTAGCTTTTGCTCTAATCATTGCTGCACGAAAACTGCGTCCATACTTCTTGGAACATTCTGTCATTGTGTATACTTCATATCCTCTTCGACAAGTCCTCCACCGACCCGACACGTCGGGGAGGATGGTCAAATGGGCTATTGAACTTCGACAGTTCGACATTCAGTATCACCCACAGCTATCAAAGCTCAAGTATTGTCCGATTTCATAGCGGAGTTCACCCTGTCTGTTAGCGCATCAGTTCAGGATCCGACGTGGACCCTCTACATCGATGGATCATCCACTGCTATACGAGCTGGAGGAAAAATTGTTTTAGTTAGTCCTGATCAACAAGTGTTTTGCTACTCTGTGGCATTCACTTTCCCAGCCACCAACAATGAAGCTGAATATGAGGCCCTCTTATCAGGCCTACACTTTGCTGAATCCATGAATATTTCCTCTCTCCGGATATTTTCTGACTCTCAGTTACTAGTCAGCCATATTAATGGCACTTACGAGGTTAAGGAACCACGGTTGTTGCCTTATTTTGATCTCGTCAAGAAGAAGCTATTACGGTTCAAAATGACATTAGAACATATACCTCGGTCATCTAATATTCAAGCAGATGCTCTTTCACGGTTGGCCTCTTCAACTGATTTGAACAATGTCGAGTTTGTGCAAATTACTCAACAAGTGACTTCCTCAACGGTTTCTACCGACGTTGTCATGATCGATGCTACCTCACCAATCCCGGACCCGACGTGGATGGATCCAATCATCAACTACCTTCAAACCGGGGCCGTACCCGAAGACCCAAGAGAAGCTCGCACCCTTCGTGTTCGTGCTGCTCATTTTACGATCGATCAAGGAACATTGTATAAGCGTGGATATTCTGCTCCATTGCTTAAGTGCTTGTCGGAAATTGATGCCCGACGTGTTCTTCAAGAAGTACATGAAGGAGTCTGCGGTATTCATCAAAGAGCGCAAGCCTTGTCCCACAAGATTCTCCGACAAGGCTACTATTGGCCGACTATCAGGAAGGATGCCGCAGACTGGGTGCGAAAATGTCACAAGTGTCAAATATTTGCTCCCAATGTTAATCAACATACGGAACTCCTCAAGTCAATATATAGCCCATGGCCGTTCGCAAAATGGGGAATTGATTTGATTGGCCCACTTCCGACAGCAAAAGGAGGTGTTCGGTTTGCAATACTAGCTGTCGATTACTTCACTAAATGGGTTGAGGCCGAGCCTCTTGCAACCATCACTGAACAAAAGATGATCGATTTCATTTGGAAGTCAATCGTCTTTCGTTTTGGGATACCGAATGCCATCATAACCGACAACGGTCGTCAGTTCGAGGGGAAACGATTTGAAGGCTTTTGTGAAGATTATGGCATCAAGCACTTCTTCTCGTCACCTTACCATCCACAGGCTAATGGACAGATAGAAGCTGTAAATAAGATTATCAAGAATGGTCTGAAAACTCGGCTTGAGACTGCAAAGGGATCATGGCCTGATGAATTACCCCATGTCCTCTGGGCTTACCGGACGACGACTCGAAACTCAACTGGGGAAACTCCGTTTTCATTAGCGTACGGGACTGAAGCTGTGATACCAGTTGAACTTGCTTTTCCAACGTATTGGATTACTCATTTCTCCGAAGAAACCAATTCGGCAAACCTGAAAGCCAATCTTGATTTGGTCGATGAATTACGGGCTAATGCTGAAATTCGAAATGCCACTTATAAACGACGTAGTGAGAAGTACATCAATTCAAGACTCAAGCCACGTTCATTTATCATAGGAGACCTTGTACTGAAAAGAATCACTGGGGCCAATGTCGGTCCACTACAACAGAAGTGAGAAGGACCCTTTAAAGTGAATCGTCTAATTTCTAACGGAACCTACCGACTTGAGACTCTAGATGGTGTTCCCCTTCAGTATCCTTGGCACGCAACCTACCTGAAGAAGTATTACCAGTAAACCTGAAGATTAAACCTCCATCTCCGATGTATGAAAGTCTTTTGTCCTACTCATGTACAAGAACCGCCTTGTGTTGTCAATAAAGTTTGTGTGACGAACCACTATAATTTGTTCGATCACCCAGACCACAATAAATCGGTCCTCATCGCCAAGGCTAAACGTGTTTCATACCCTGAAGTTGGTGTGACCTAGCCAAACGCGACAAAGCCGGATACTTCCAAGCCCTGAAGATGGTTTGGGGAGGCTTATGCTCTATAATTTCAAATCCCGACGTTGATTTGATGAGCTTACAATAAATGTTTACAATAAAAGCAAGTTTTTTACAACTTGTTCAGATAAAGAGTTTACAGATGTCGGATATGCTATAAATTATGCCGACATCGGAATTTAAACAAACTTGGAAGAAGGCAAAATGTAAGTGCCAAGTGTGATATCGGAGTGATCATAAACATGACTCGCTGGACATTCATTTATCTTCACTCCGACATGATTTGACTTGTTACAATAAATATGTCAAAACAATACATTCATAAAACCATGAAATCAAAAATATCAAGTTTCATTCATAATAAGAAATTTTCATTACATACGATAAAAAAAAAAAGAAAGAAGAAAAGATAACAAATTTCATTCATTGTTTTTGGTCCCCGACGACGAAGCCCCTCCGGCTGTGGAAGACTGGGAATTCCCAACCTCGGTTTTTTTCTTGTCCACCGCGTCCAAGTGGTTTATCAATCTCTCGCCCAGGCGCTGCATTACCTCTTCCTCCTTCTCTTCCACCGCTCGGACGATGTCACTTTCTTTTATGATGACGACGTCATCATCGTGCAAAACACGATCGTCGTCGGAGGAAATTGGATCAACCACCCATCCTTTGGCCTTGGCATCGTCCTCCGCCACCTTTCGTAAGGCGAAGCTGATAATCGCGCCCAGGAGCTCTTCATCAGATAGGCCTTCGAGTGTCTCAACGACAAAGGCCTCAGCAATGGTCTCTACGCATATATTTGCCATTTCAGGCTTCTTAACCGTCTCCACTTCGAGGACCATATCGACAAACGCTCGGCGGATTTTAGCCTTGTGCTCCTCCGACAAAGGCACCATATCCAATTCTAGCATCCGGCTCTCCTTCTGCTTTAGAAGTCGGTCGGTGAAATCTCGCTCATCTTGATCCGCTGGGATATGGGCATTCTTCATCTCAGGATTGAGGCCATGTTTTTCCATTTTATGCAAAAGGAAGATGCGCAGCTCATCAATGGTGTAGACGCCGTTTTCCACTCTGTTGATCACCCAGCGCAACGTTAGTGCGACGTTTAGCTCTAAATCCCACTCAGTTACCACGTCCGCACTTAACGCCTTGTCGGATTCCGTCACAGCCTTCTTACCGACGTCGATACCCTCCTGAAATCTGAGTTCAGCTGCACTGTCATCTCTTGACGAAGCTTTGTCATAGCAATCTCATGGGCCTCACGACTTCGAATTAGCTCAGCATCTTTATCAGACCGATCTTTACGGACAGCTTGGAGCTCAGCTCTCAATTTCATGAGTTGTTCGTCTTTCTCTTTTGCTATCTCTTCAACTTTAGCCAGCTGAACCGATAAGAGATCATGCGCTAGCAGAAGGTTCTCTCTCTCAGTCTTAAGTGCACCCATCTCGGTTTGTGTTGCGTTCAGTTGAGCATCTTTTTCCGATATCGATGCTTCATAACGGGATTTCTCATCCTCTAAGGAAGCTATGGCACCTTCCTTCAAACTCAGCTCGTGTTGCTTCTCGTCAAGTTCGTGAGCTCGGCCCCGATAACTTTCTTCGGCCGCGATAAAACTGACGAGTGCTCGCCCCAAACATCCTCGGGCATAGCTGAATTTCTGATCGTCGGGCAGAGATACAATCCCGGTGTGGGTTTTCGGATCCCATGACATTAACGGGACTTTTGCCGCCTTCATCGCCTCGTTGGGGATCCGGTGGTTGATTGTAACCTTTGGCTCGACGACTGTTTGGAACATGGCGAACCAAGGGTCGAACAAACCCTCAGGCAGCTTTAGCTCCGCCGCTTTCTTCTCATTTATTTTGAGGAAGGAATCCCTCAAGATGATCTCGGGTTCCTCCTCTTTATCTTTGCCAACGCCAGTGTCTTGCCTTTTCTTCATCCTCTCGGCTACATGCGACACGCTAGATCTCTTGCGCCGTTGGACTACGTTCAAAAGCGGCTCTTCCGACACCTCTTGCGAGATGTCGGTCATTGCAGTAGGCTCCTCTACCGGCGTCATCACTTGTTGTAGTGGAGCGACGTCAAGTGGCGGGACGTCGGTAACCAACGACTCACTTACAATCGCCGGTGCAGGTTCCAGTCTTGTTGACGATGGCTCACCAACAGCACTTTGAGATCGGTTGGGGTTCTTTTTCCATGCCTTGAGGAGGTTCATGCGTCCAGCCATCTCGGTTGATCGAAGGTTCTTATTTTTTCCAACTTTGTTCTTCAAATCGAAGTTCGGTTTACGTCTCCGATGTTCTTCCGCTTCTACGAGATCACCAAAACCAAAATATCCCAGCAGCGGATAATAAACTGCCATTAGATGAATAAGTTAGACCGACGTTGTCACTGTGAAGGATAAAACCAAGCAAGTAAGAAGTGTACCTGGTTGAAACATTGAATTCAGTACTCCGGGAGATAAGCCAGCAAGCTCTAATCGGGAATCCTTCACAAGTCGCTGATATCGTCGCTTGTTTTGGGAAACATCAAATAACTTGTCCACCCGATCGTACAATAAAACTTCAAGTCTAGGTTCTTTCTTTCCCGTTGGCTTTGCTACAAGGTCACAAAAGTCCACCTGTTAGCGAAAACAAAAAACAAGGTATTAATATTCGAAGTGAAGAAAACGATAAACAACTTACAATAACCAGATTTAATAGCCATTGGGATACTCGTCCCATCGACAAGAAGATCATTAGCGAAATCGGTGCACTGCCAGTCCCCACCGACCCATAACCATTCTTCTTGAAAACCGTGCAACGTGTCGGGAACTTCCGTTATCAATTCGCCAACTTTAACTCTTGGCTGAGGTTTGCCGACAATAGAAAAAGTTAGAAGCGGATCTGATACTTGTCTG